TGGATAACAAAACTGCTATTTTCAATGACTACTTATTTTTGTCCAGCTTTAACATCGGTATCGATATCGGTTATCGGCTACATGAGTTTCAAAATATCGGATATCTGCCAAAATCCCAATATCGTGCATCCCTAATTTACACCAAAGTTTTTTAGATGAAACACAAGTCATGGCATCAGAGACAAGTACACCGTAGCTCACTGAGTCCCAGCACATTTTATTTAAAAATCTTTTTATTAAGATGTGTAGAAAGTCAAGTAGAAAAAAGGAGATAAATCTGAACATGAAGCTTGATGAGCGGTGAGCTTTGAAAGACGTACGATGCAGAAGAAAGACCATCTGCATCTGAACTGAGTCACCTGTTGTTAAAATAGGTTCAAATATTTCATATAAAGCTGCTTTAAAGGTTAAACAGCTGTTTTATTGAAGGAGAGAAACAGGCAATAATGAGGAAAAGTGATGAAGGAGACACGGTGGAAGACATGAAAACGTCTAAACATTGAAGAAGTGAATCGTTTAAGATTAACGTGGAATATTTCTGTCTCTGAGATTAAAGCCTCATCCACGCCGCCTGCTGTCAGAGCTAGCTACGGTGGCTAGCTTAAACGCCTGGGTCAGCCAATCAGCTCCCGGTCCTGGAATAGTCCTGGATTTATGGCTTCCTGCCTGGAGAGCAACGGATAAACGAGTGAATCTGAGCTCTGCCCTCATCCACAGGTTCAACAACTTCCTCCAGAATCTCTAGAATCCAGAGCATCAGTGTGATGATGTCATTTCCTGAACTTGGTGACTACAGAAACATAGCTAGCGTTAGCATTAGCTGCTGACTGATGAAGCCAGGAAGGAATCCCATCAGGACAAACATCCAGCTTCGGGCCTCCGTCCAGCTCGGCCTGTGGACCCAGAACCTTCTGACAGGCGGCCAATAAACCCGGCCTCCCGAGCACCTCAGCGGGCGCCGCTGCCCGCCGCGGTCTGGTTAGAGTGGCGCCGGGCTGAGGCTGTGGCTCTGAGTGTGTTTGTTCAGGTCCTTCTTGTAGGTGAAGGGCTGGGAGCAGATGCTGCAGAGGTAGGGTTTCTCCCCCGTGTGCATCCTCATGTGGGTGACCAGGTTGCTCCTCTGCCTGAAGCTCTTGGGGCAGCGCTGGCAGGCGTACGGCCTCTCCACCGTGTGGATCCTCATGTGGATCCTCAGACACTCGCCGCGGGCAAACGTCTTCCCGCACTCCTTGCAGCGGTGCGGCCTCTGGCCCGTGTGGATCAGCATGTGCCGTTTGAGATGGGTGGCCGTGGTGAAGGTCTTCCCGCAGACATGGCACAGGTTGTCCACCGTGGGCGCCGGCGCCGCACGCTCCGAGGGACAGAGCGGGGAAAACGGCGTAGCGTGGGACTTGGCGTGTATTACCATGGAGCTCCTGCGGAGGAACGACTCTCCGCACGTCCCGCAGTGGAACGCCGTGACGTTCCGCTGGGCCCGCCTCTTCCGGGCCCCCACAGCGCGTTCCTCGGCCTCCGGCTCGCCTTCAGACGACACCGGCTGGCAGAAGTCCGACCGGTCCAGACATTCTGCTTCCGGGTCAGCGGAGGTGTGAGTCGTCCCCTCCTCCACCAGCTTCAGACAGACGGAGTCGCTGTTCCACTGCTCCATCAGGGTCGCCTGGTCCGGACCGGGCCAGAATCCTGGACCGTCCCAAAACTCATCTTTGATGGGCTTCACCAGAACCTGCTCTGGTTCTGTGGAGGCTGGTTCCCCTGACGCCCGGAGGTCCGGAGAGGCTGCAAACACAGACAGACGGGAGAGGATGACACTCTTCCTGGAACTGAAGGTCACCGCCTCCATCTCCAGGTTCTGGAGGTCCGATTAAATCCTGAAGAACCAGAACATCTCAGCAAATAGAACGTTTCACACAGAAGAGCAGAAAAGGTTTAATAAAAGCCTGTTTGAAAACACGTCTATGAATCATCTAAGGCTCTGGGTCAGAATCAACCAGAACCAACCAGATCCAATCAGATCCAACCAGATCCAACCAGAACCAACCAGAATCAACCAGAACCAACCAGATCCAACCAGAACCAACCAGAACCAACCAGAACCAACCAGATCCAATCAGAACCAATCAGAACCAACCAGATCCAATCAGAACAATCAGAACCAACCAGATCCAATCAGAACAATCAGAACCAACCAGATCCAATCAGAACA